GCAGAAACGGGTGGTTTTTGCACAAGGGGCTGCGGTATTTATAGGATGCAGCAGCCATGCTACCGCATACCTATGAACGTTCACGGCTTCCCCCTTCATCCGGGATTGTCACACTTGGTGTGATCATTGCCGACTTGGCCGACATTCGAGTCGATAATTGGTGCAATTTCATCACGTGCGTTGGATGTTGGCGTGATGATTGCTCGACCATCTGATGCGTTGACCCGGGTGTTGGGGAGAGTGTTAACCATTGCGCTCCCCGCGTGGCCAATTACTCCGCCTAGACGAAGTCTCAGCACGCTGTATTGAATGGGAAGATCGTTGCACTTGTTGATGGACTGGGGGCCAGTAAACCATGATTCCAGTAGCTCCCGGCTCACTCGGTTCTCACCTCTTGCGAGAATTTCGGCCTCATCGAATTTAAATGTGTGGCCGGATCTCGTCAAATGAGCCGCAACTTGAGAGCTGGCGTCATTTCTGCGCACCGCTGTCGCGTGTTCGGCCATTCTCGTTCGGAGCTGTCTTCCGGTTTCTCCGACGTAGTTGCTTTGTCCGCAACTGCACCAGATCCGATAAACGACTCCAGACGTTTCTAGCCGTGGCAGTGGGTCTTTCGGTTTCATGATCAGACGCCTGATGGTTGCCTTCGGTCTGTGAGCCACTCCACCCCCATGTGGTGCGAGAATGCGGCCGACAGCTTCCGAAACGTTCTTGACATATGGAAGTGCCCGCCAAGACTTGGTGTCCGTGCGGTTAGGCCTTTCGTCCCTTTTGCGTATGCACCGGTCGACGAAGTTGCGCGGGTAGCCATTGGCTTTGAAGACCCGTCGGAGGTATTGTAGTTCTGCAATTTTGTCTTCCGGCTCACTGCAGTGCGTTTCGACACGCCGATAGAGCGTCCTTACACAACTGCGATTGTGGCTGATTGGGTGGTTACTGTTGAAGGTCAGTACTTGCATCGTATTTGTCGCTTTCCTGAGCACGTTGATTTTTAGTCCACCACAATCCTTGCGGCATAGGAGGACATCCAGGAAGGCCAGCTGGTTGTTTTCTTCCTCCTCCATCGTAAATTGAATGTCCGGGAAGACGGCGTTGAGATGTTCTTGGAATGTCAACACCTGATCCCGTTCGATGACGACGAAGGTATCATCCACATACCGGGTCCAGAATTTCGGTCTGTGGTGTTGGAAGACCAGCGACTCTAACCGTTGCAGGACCGCCTCGGCGATGACTCCCGAAATCGGCGAACCCATTGGTGTGCCCTTCACCTGTTCGTAGATTGTCCCGTCGAACGTGAAGTACGTCCTGAGACAGAGCTTCAGGAGCTGAAGGACTTGGGCGTGTCCAAGACGGTTCTCCGTTTCATCGTATTTGCTTTGTAGTAGCAGTTCTATTGTCTCAATCGCCAGGTCCCCTTTGAGTTTCTCCAGGAACGCATCAGATGATCGGGCAATCATCACGCCAACATCCAACGCATGTGATGAAATTGCAGCAATTATCGACTCGAATGTCGGCCAAGTCGACAATGATCACACCAAGTGTGAAAATCCCGGATGAAGGGGTAAGCCGTGAACGTTCATAGGTATGCGGTAGCATGGCTGCTGCATCCTATAAATACCGCAGCCCCTTGTGCAAAAACCACCCGTTTCTGCTCTTTTGTCTCTGATGATGGATTCGAGTAGGGATCCGAAACGTCAGGCTAATAAAGCTCTTGTCCCGGCGATCGTGTCTCCTTCTTCAAGACAAGCCTGTGTCGATGACCGCGCTGTCACAAAAAAAGTACCAACTGCCTGGTCGGTCCCAAGTGAATAGCATGTCGCTGAAGTGCGTCTACGCTGTTTGGGTTTGCTGCTGGAGATTAAATGCTTTAGGCAGAATGGTATTACCCACAAAGACAAGGGAGACTAGAATAGCCATTTCCGGCTTATTGGCCGTCGTCAGCCAGTCATACACAACCCCGATGTGTGGAACACCCGAGGCTCGACCTCGAGACCTGTTAGTTAGAAGTTCAAGCCTCTAACCACTGGGCCACGAGCCCGTTGGCCTGTCAGTTTTCGACCGAGAACATACCATTCTGTCTATATCATGCGCTGCCGTGCGGCTGCTGGTTGGGCTCGAGAGAGAGCCCGTAAGGCACAACTTAACGAGTAAGTTCCGTAAGAACCATCGGTTTGCGTCCCCTAACATTATATATTCCCGATCGAAAACCGACAGGGCAACGGGCTCGTGGCCCAGCCGTTAGAGGCATGGACTTCTAACTAACAGGTCGCGAGTTCGAGTCCCGGGTGTTCCACACCTCGGGGTTGGGTGTGACTATCTGACGACGGCTAATGAACCAGAAATGGTCATTCCAGTCTCCTTTGTCTCTGTCGGTAATGCCATTCTTCCTATATCATGCGTCGCTGTGCGGCTACTGGTTGGGCTCAAGAGAGAGCCCGTAAGGCACAAGGGGACGAGCGAGTGCCTTAGGAACGATCGGTGAGTGAGTTCCGTAAGAACCATCGGTGAGCGCCTCTCTACCATTAAATGCTTTCACAGCGGAAGGTCGTACCCTATAGGCAATAGCTACAAAGATTAGGCAGGAGTAAGGTAGGGGCAAATGCGCAAGCAAGTGCGTTCTCTTCTCACAGCCAGATCATTCCGATGACGAGGCACGATCCAGACGACTGGTACTGACTAAGGGCGCAATAGCCTGTTCACGCCTGCCACGCCCGACCCACTTCCAAAGTCCACACGTAGCAGTCTTAATTGCAGGAATTCGCACTACACGCACCTGCGAGAAGTGCGATGCAAGCGTCAGTGGAAATGAGTAATTGCGTCTTGGTTCTCTTCCCGGAGAAGGAATGAATCCCCCACCCCCGTCAGCTGACAGCCTTCTGCGCTACGGCTGTTAGCGTGTCGTGATAGTGCACATATGCGCATTTACTCGTTTACTGTGAGGAAGTATCCGGACTGATTCGACCCTGCCTCTCACTCTCTCCCCGCTTCTGTACGACTGTGGTTAATCCATGTCTGTCTGTCTGCAGCTGCGACTTGGTGTAAGGGCTGACGTGGCCTGGAGCCGTCCTCTAACGCGTGCTTCGAACTCTAATATAATGGCCTACCCTCAAGTTGATATTTTCAATTCATTTGCAACGAAATACAGTAAATCCTTAAGTAACATTTTCTGTCAGAAATTGTTTTTGGGCTGAAATTTACCTCCTCCCTTCCACCCCCACCCCCTGCACCGCCCTGTATCCGGTGAAGAAGACAACTCTTGTTGAGTGCTGTTCACAGCGTCTCAGAGAACGTTGTCAGCAAAATCTACCAAGAATAATGCCACCCTATATATGAAGCTTCCAAAAGCTTAGGACGAATGCGCATTATGTTGCATATTTAATGAGAGACAGACAGATACGATGTCACTTGAATGGGTATTTTAAGGTCTTAAATATCGCATGACAATAGCACTTTGTAAGGACGGAAAGACGCCTTTTTCAAGTAAAAAATTTAAACAGGACACAATTTGCTACCAAATGAACACAAAAAACAGCATTTTTATATCTTTTTCTGCGAAATGTATCTTAACTTGTAAAGCCATCTTAAACAACAGAAGCATGGGCCTTCTACCTAAAAAGCCGTCTTTTACCGAGTGTGATTTCTGCGGGCCGCCGAAAAGTAGTGCATTTAAAAACACGCATTCTCGCGTGACTGAAATATCCAGGCATTATACTGCACAATGGTCAATATTGCAATACTTCCTAATCGAAAACACAATTCAGAATTTCAGTTAGCATTTGGTGAGATCGGTCAGTGACCGCCGGTAGGCAAATATTTGCTGACTAATTACAGTTCATGAGAAGGAAATTGGTGAATACTGTCAAAATTATCCTTTCTGCAGGTGAGAAGCAATTTAGACTTCTACGCATCAGAGGCGAGTAACAACAATGAACGCATGAAATTCAACGATTGAAAGTGCTTATGTTTCGATGCTGCTAAACTCTTGATCATTTATTCTCGCGTTTGTCGGATTGTTGCAAATATTACAAGAAATGTTCACTCTCCTATTGTCTTCAGAGGCGTAATAGTTTACCTTTTCCGATCAAACTGGCAACGCAGATGAGTGGCTGACTGATTTCCGTCAGGGATTGCCATCTGATTTGCTTCAGCTATGCAAAAAATGTAATTCTAACCACCGAAAATGCCAAATATTCACACTTAGAGAAAACAAGACACTGATCGAAACGAAGTTCGACAAAAATGTCTGTGAAATGTTGTTTCGCGTCTAGTACAGTAATCCTCTGCTAGGATATACCACTAGTTTGGTTGTGCACGAGGCTTTTATGGAATAATTTATTC